TGACTGGGAGGTGTTGCCCCCACTCTGAATCTGCCCCTTTGTGAGAGCAAACAGGGAATTTCGGTCTCAAAAATTCAGTCACCAAGGTTGGAGGCCTGAAGGAACCTGCAACAACCTCAGTGTGACCCAAGGCTGGCCCACATTGAACCTGAACTCGGAAAGGGACTGTTTTGTTTCAGAACTGCACCCAAATGTTCTGCTCGACCAAGGTCCCAGGTCTTGGATGGAGAGATCTAAAAGGAGGAGGAGGAGGAGGAGGAGGAGGAGGAGGAGATGGAGCTCCCTTCTGTGATCTCCTGGTGGGAAAGCCATCAGTGTGGCAGGCTGGAAGTCCTCCAGGTCCCATCTCCTGGCTGTGGTGACCTTCAGATGCACATCTGCTCTGAAACGTGGTCCTCCTGGCTCTGTGTGCCAGATGTGCTGGGTGGCAGGTCAGGAGACAGGTTCCCCTCACAACTGTATCAAAATCAGCCTTTTATAGAGTCTTTCTATTTCCTAAAATATCTGTCTAAATCTTTATTTTTCCCTCTGGAAAATGTTCCCTTAGAAAATCCCAAGAAGCCAAAATTCCTGCTTAAACACGGTGCCATTGCCTAATGGGCTACTTATTCCACCAGATTCCTCATTTTATTGGTTTTTTTTTTTAAAATATATGGGGTCATATTTTGTAACCCTGGTGGATATGAGATATTCCTTGCAAAAAAAAGGTTTATGGCACTGTGTGTTGCCTGTGAGTTATGAGACTGTTCCTGTCTGGCAGGGAATGAAAGAGCCCAGCATCTGGCACTGTGGAAAAGCAGACATCCCCAAACTTCCCACTCTGAGGAGATGGGATGGAGGCTGTGATGAAGCATCACTTTTGACATGTGAGTCAGGACAGTTGGAGGCCCTTTCTGCAAAAATTTGTGGCTGGGAGCTCGAGGAGATCAATCCCTGGGCAGCCTGTGCAGGGAAGCCCTAAAATCCTGCCCTTTCTTTGTGTGTCAGGAGCAAATCACAGCTCAGCTCTGCAGAAAGTCAGGTGAGGAGTGCCCAGGATTTCAGGGAATTCCACAGAACCTTCTTGCAAAGTCTCATCAGGATTCTTGTCACCCACACTCGGTGCCTGTTGAAGTTTATAGAAGACCTGGAGTGAAAACTGAACTAAAACCAGACATTGCATATTAATAATTCCCCAAATCCTTCCTACCACGAGTCACTGAGTGAGGGAGAATCCAGGTGGAAAGGCTCTGTCCAGGCTCCCCAGCGTTGATCTGGTACTTGAGGGTAAAATTATTGCTCTAGAGGAGATTTGGGTGGAGACATGAGATGAACTGACAATTATCCAAATTACTGCATTTTTCCTGCTCATAGACTTCAACCTTTGAACTTGGGGAGCATCTTTATTGTTGGGAGCAAAACACTTTCTGCTGACAAACCTTCTTGGATGCTATCCCATATTTCTGTCATCAGACTCTCTTTCCTAATTTGCTATTTTGCTGATGCATTTTGGGCCTAATTCCAGGGCAACAACACTTGTTTACACTTCAGGAAGAATAAGAAATAGTATCATTTGCAGAACACATCCCCAGCAGGTTAAATATTCTCTTTTACCAGTTCAGGAATAACAAACAACCCCCTGACTTGTCAGTGACAGATTCCTTTTCTCTGACTAAAACAAATGACCCAAAACTACATTTTGCATGTGTCAACCTCCTCTTTTCTGAAGGCATTTTAAAATGAAGGCTCTTCACTTTTTTTTTTTTTTTTTTACATGAGCTTCAGAAGGAAACATCAGACGTGCTCTTCAAGGGTTCTGATAGGAACAGATGAGACCTGTGAGATGATCAAAGGGAGGGTGAAGTGAGCTGAAATTCCCTGCCTGTGTGATGGAGCCATGAAATGCTGGGGGTTCACACGCTGCATTTCACTTTTCAGCCTGCAAAGAGCAGCTGAGAGCTTGTTTAGTGCAGATCATTTTGCACTTCTAGTTGTCAGGATCTTTACTGAAAAAAAAAAAAGAAAGAAAAATCGGTGGTGTAAAGGATTGGGTGATCCTGTTGGATAAATCAGTGCCTGGGGTGTCTCACAAAACCCATCGGCAGGCAGAACTCTGTGTGTGCTTGAATATTCAAACTCACATCTTTGTTCATCCCCCTACAAAGCTGCTCATCACCAACTATGGAGATAAACCTTAAGAGCCATGAGCTCGTGGCAGCTTTCTCCACTGAGGGACAAAGAAGTCCCATGAGGTCCTGGCAAGATCATCACTTCATCCTGCTGAGACTCCTCTGGGAGCAAACCCAGCTCAGCTGCTCCCAGCCAAACCTATGGAGCAATGGAGAGGAGGAGAGAAAGGAAAAGGGAGCCCTGTGTTGGAATAAAACAAGTTTTAGGGTGAATCAGTTAGAGGGAAGAATGTTTGGGGGCCAAATATTTACTTGGGTGAGTCAGTTTGGGGTGGAAAACCAGCAGAGGGGTTGAGTCTCCTTTAAAACTTTTCCTTTTCTGTTGTGTTCACTTTTTTTTTTTTTTTTTTTTTTTTTTTTTTTTTTTAACCAGGAAGAAGTTTTTTTTGGCAAGCTGCCTTCAGCTCTGTCCCTGGGTACACCTATTTCACCCCTCTGTGCTGTTCCTGTGAGAGCTTTTGGGGAGAGAAGCAACTTGTGGAAAAAAAGGAAATTTCTTTGAAGCGTGGGCATTCTGGAAGGGACAAAGGGAGTGGCTTTTGAAAGGTCCCTGGGGCAGGGTGGCTGTGGTGTCTGCACATCTCCTTTGTGGCACTTTATTGTCTTGTTTGGGGCATGCCTGTCCCTCTGAGCTTCCCAGTGATGTGGGGAAAGTGTCCACAGCTTGTGCAGGGCAGGGCTGTCACCCCAGAGAGGAAATGAAGGCCCTGCAGCACCTCGTGAATATTTATGGTGCCAGCGCTGAGTGTTCCTGTGCAGCTGCTCAGCCTGGAGGGCTCTGCAGTTGATTTTGCTGCTGCTGTTTGCTTTACAAAGTGCATGCCAGGAACCATCCCCAGAGCCAGCTGAAATGCCTCTGTTGCCCAGCAGTGACGGGGCTGTGACATCTCAGAGGGACCCCCCGTCCCTCCTTCTGGTCGTGGCAGTGGTTGCCCCTCCTGAGCCCTGCCAGCAGCTCTGGGGTGGGCACAGTGGGGCAGAGCTGATCAGAAACACACTGATCACCCCCCAGAAACACCCCAGGGTGCAAGTACAGGGAGCAGAAAGGGTTTGTGTCAGCTGAGGACCTGCTTGGCCAGCTGTGGGAGAGGACCCAGCACAGGTTGCCCAGAGAAGCTGTGGCTGCCCCTGCATCCCTGGAAGTGTCCCAGGCCAGGCTGGAGCAACCTGGGCTGGTGGAAGGTGTCCCTGCCTGTGGCAGGGGGCTGGAATGAGCTGAGCTTTGAGGTCCCTTCCCTCCCAAACCATATCATCATTCCATGACTCGATACAATCTCCTGGCTTCGCCCTCTCCATCCTTAACACCCAACCCAGGGAAGCCCCCAGACTCTTCCAGACTTGGCTGTTGAGTGGTTGAAACCCTTGGCAGTGTTTAAACTGAGCCCTTGGCAGTACCAAAAGCCAAAAAGTACCAAAACCACTGTGTTGTTTGTGCACTGACTGCAGAGAGCCTGGGTTAGGCTCAGCTTATTGCCTTTGTCCACATTACTGACCTTTTGCCTTGCACATTGCCTGGCCTGAGGGAGGGGGGAGGAAGGAGGATTAAAGGTTAAGAAACCTCTCTTGAAAGAGTTAGGAGGCCTAAATGTTTAAAATGTTTCCTTTCCCCCCAGTAATTCCAATATATATTAAAGCTAAAACCCTTCTGAGAGGTAATAAAACAGCACAGTGGAGAAGATCATTGGGAAGATTAGGAAGAGGAGACTTAAGAGCTTACCCTTGATGCTTCTGGGTTTATACTTGGTTCTTGTTTTACCCTGTCAATCTCTCCTAGTGTTTCTCACCGGGGTTTTATTGTGTTTTTATGGAGCAGGGATGGCTCCAGAGCTGCGAAATTACCAGGGAGAAGCCGTTTGGTGGAGGGGGGAAGAACATTCCTTTGCACATTTTTCGGCGTTCCTGTTACATCTCAAATTTAGAAAAGCAACAAGGAGCAGCATCCAGCTTTCATTAATGCCTCAGGGATTTCTTGGCACATATGTTTTCGTTTCCAGGAGAGGCAAAGGAGAGGATGAAATTCCTCCCTCCCAGCCGGGGCTGGAGCACAGCAGGACCAGGGGGATCCCTGGATCCTGCTGCCAGGTAGGAGCCTGGTAACCTGCTCTGTGTCTTTGTCCCTAAAGCAGCAGCACTGGGAAGTGCAATGATGGTTTGTCAGGACAAAGGGTCGTGCTGTGACTGCTTCCCTTCTGGGAGAGTTCCTTCTGACACAGCCTGGCTCGTGGCCCATATTAATTTGCTCCAAAAAAAGAAGAAGAAGAAGAAAAAAAAAAAGCCACGATATTCACATTCTCGGAGGAGCTGCGTGTTCCATCTGGATCCTGCAAACCTGCGAACCCCGTCCAAATAATTCCCACGTTCCCCTCGCTCAGGGAGTGATTTTTGTGCATCCTGTCAGTTCAATGTATCTGTGAGCTCCTGAGGGTGTCCCTGCCTTCCCCACAGCCCCTGGGAGATGGTCCCACCAAGCATTTGCTCCCTGCTTGAATCCCAGCAGCGTGGAACTCCGTCTGGGACAGCTCAGGAGCCGGGCTTGGCGGGAATGCTGCGACATTCCCTCGGAGATGTGTTTTGTCAGGTCCCAAAGCTCCAGGCCTGGTGCTCACTGCTGTGCTGGAGGGTGTGTGGACTGGGGGATGTTAAAAGGCTTCTCTCTCTCCCCCTTAATTTTTGGTGTTTCTATGGAAACAGATCCTGAACAGAAAACCGTCCGTTCCTGCTTTTTCTCGTCGCGGTTTTGTCGGTGGGAAAAAGCGGAACTCGGGATGAAAGGCAGAGCAGGCAGCGGTAGGTGTTGCAGGGAGAGCAGGACCAAGTGTCCTTGCTCCACTTCCAAATCAAAACACCTGCAAACAGCGACCTAAACCCTTCAGTTCTTATTTAAGGAACCACTTCTGGCTTGTGTGACCGTGACTTTGCCACCAGCTGGAGGGAAAGGAGGCTGGGGTTTCCCAGATTCCTCCTAACCAACCTGACCTGGAGCACCTCTGGGTTTGAGTTTCAGGAAGAGAAATTTGGGCTCTGAGCACTGTGCCATTGTGGGAATCAAAGGGTCACTCAGGTCAAGGAGAATTTGGATGAGAACGCTTTGGGCACGCAGGGCTGGCTGGTGGTTGCTGGGAAGATGAAAGTCAGCCTGGTTTCTGCTCTCTGCGGTATTTGGGTCTCACCTTCATCACCATCCTGCTGCACAAGGTAAGGAGGTGCATGCTGAGGTTGAAGCTGGAAGGAGAAATGCCTCTGCAAGTCACCAGCTGGGATAGTTTTAGTCTAGGCCTTCTTGGCAGCCAGCAGTTGCAGCTCCTTGGCAATGAGAGTTTTAGGGAATTGTTTTCCCTTTGGAGATAGACTTTGAAGCTCTGCGGGGTGGGGGCTGCAGGACTCTCTGCCCCCAGTAGATTTGGTGCCTTTGAGACATTTTCCGTGCTCCTGGTGGCTGTCACTCAGTGCCACAGCAGGGTGACAGGTTCCCCTGTGGCCCAGGTGGCCTCGTCTTTACCACAAGGTGTTTCCACTGACGGATCACATTTTGTTTCCCACCTGTCTTGTTGTGAAAGGCGGCAAATCCTGCAGGCCCAGCTGTCCCAGACCTGGCAGAAATGCAGAAAGGAGGAACCCCCAATAAATCAGGTTGTTTACTGCCCAAACTCCAGTGGCCCTCTGGCTACACACAGAGAAGAGAGGTGGAAAAGGAGAGGAGGAGGATGAGCAGATGGACAGGTCCTGCACTCTGTCCCGAAGCAAACCAGAGGCTGATCACACAGAGAGTGTCTCACAGGTTGGCTTGTGAATAAATCCCCCCACCCAGAGGGATGTGCCTGAGCTGGGCTAGAGCTCCTGATGGGATCTGAGATGGAGTAGCTCTCAGCTTCAGCCACCTTGTCATGGGGAGTCCACCTCTTCAGCAGCCTGCTCTGCTCTGTGGCTCTGCTCCCATCCTCCCACAGGAAAGGGAGACATCACTGGAAAAATCTGTGCTGCTTTTTTCATACAGAAAAGAAAGAGTTAATCTTTCTTTCTTTCTTTCTTTCTTTCTTTTTTTTTTTTTTTTTTTTAAGTTTTGGTATTTAAAATTGATGAAGAAAATGAGTAAAAAAGCCGTGGGTCAGATTACTCCTCCTCAGATATTTTGCTGTTTCTGGCAAATTGTTGCTTGTAGAGGTCTGGCATTTTATTTATTTTTTTTTGTTTGTTTATTTTTTAAGCACTGACATCTCTCCTCATGCTCTCTATAACTCTTTCTTGAGAGTTCCATGAGGGGTGGATGGCTGCTCGCTGCTGGTCCTGCTCCTCAGGGCACCCTTTTGCAAAGCCATTCTTCTCCCTTTTCCTCCCTCCTCCAACCTGTGGGCGTCTGACTCAGAGGAGCTGGAGGCTCATCGTGGAGTTTTCACGTGGAACTTTTCGTTAATTAACTCGTGACTCAACACGTTCAGCTCAGGAAAGAGATAACTCAGTGCGTTTCACTTTTGCTCTGCCCGCTTTTGTGGGTGGCATCGATGGGTTATCGATCCCTTTGGAGGTGCTAACATTTGTAGGGTAGATGAAGTCGTGGAGGCCCCATCCTGGAGGTGTCCAAGGCCAGGTTGGAGGGGGCTTGGAGCAACCTGGGCTAGAGGAAGGTGTCCCTGCCCATGGCAGGGGGTGGAACAGGATGGGCTTTAAGGTCCCTTCCCATCCAAACCATCCTGGGATTCTCTTTGTGGTGCTGATGGTGGCTCTGCTGTGCCAAAAACAGGCTCGGAAAGAAAAGATCTGTAAGCAACGAGTTTCTCGAGGAAACTCCTCTGCCCGTGCTGACCTTTAGGAGCGGGATTGGCCGTGCTGGTGATTTCCCAGCACAAAATTCCGGCACAGTTGGGCTCCTTGCCCTCAGCCCCGAGTCGCCCATCTCCCATCTGCAGAGGGGCCAACCCCTCCGGCTGTCAGACTTGCAAATGAAGAGGCGTTAACGAGCGTGGAGGCTGCTGGCAGCGATTCCCAAATTCTGCCGAGGTTTGGGAAAGTGCCGGGCGTCTGGACTCCAAATCCGCGGGATGGGGACCGTTCCAGAAGGAGACGCCGCGAAGGGGTCTGTGCTCGAACCCACAGCCAGATCTGCCCACGGTGTTCCTCGGGGGGTTTAGGGGGGACCTCCCTCCTTGGGAACTTTAAATGCCCATAAAACCCCCACTCCGCGTGTTTCCCTTTCTTCCAGTTCGCAGTTTAGGAATGTTTTGAAAACTGGAGCAGTTAAGAGACGGGGGAAAACGGTTCGATCGAGTTGAGCATCGAGCTGCAAGCCCAGGGCAGGAAAAACAACTAAAGCCACTCCCCAGCTATTCCAAACACCCAGATAAGTACAATAAAAGCCACAAACCTAATCTTTAACTTTTGCTCGCCGTATTGGGGTTATTAAAGTTATTAAAATCCAGTCGTTGGAGGGCTTGGGGACTGCGTTAAGGTATCTGCGGCTCATTGAGCCTCACGGAGGAATTTTGCCCGGGGGGATTTGCTGCTTTAATGCATCTGTTGACTGGCAAATTGCTTTCTGTCTGCAGAGCTGGCTGGGAGAGTCCTGGGATGCTTCCATATGGAGGTGCTGCTGCTGCTGCTGCTGCTGCTGCTGGAAATGGAGGGACAGAGTGGGGGGAAAAAACTCACGAGTAACTCAAAACCCGTGTGTGATTTACCCTCCTGCTGCTCTAACCCAGCTATAAATATTAAACGTGAGGTTGGGGTGGGATTTCAGCTTGGCCTGTTGGCTCCTCTTCCCGATGTGCAGCAACCTCATCCATCTCCAGGCTCGGAGGAGCAGGACGTCTCTCTCCTCTCCTGATCCATTTTTCCTTTCTTTATCCCTTTTTCCCCTCCTCAATTAATCATGCTAATAGCAGACTGGGGGGAAAGGAGTCTAAAAATCTCAATTTGTCTGTGGGAACGTCAGAATCGGAGCCGTTTCTACCCCACAGAGCGTGAGGGAGGGGGAAAGCTCTGGATTTTGGGGTCTGGGGGAGGAGGGACCCCCCCACTGCTGTGGGGTGGGACCTGCCAAGGGTGCTGCAGGGTCACAGAGTGCTGGATTTATTCCTTCTGAGGGCTGGCAAAACCTCTTTGCAAGGGGCACGTTTGAGTTACGAGTTGCAAAGTCCTGCAGAGCTGAGTTCCCACCGAGCTGGGCAGGAATTTTCCCCCAGATCCTTGTAAACACAGGCCTGCGTTAAATTGGGTTCAACTAGCAGGAAAAAGCCTGGAAAACCAGAATTTTGTTTGCAGTTAGAAAGGCTGGAAGGTGGGGGAGAGGGTCCTGGTGCAAGCCCTGGGAAGGCTGACCCAGACCTGATTTGCCCCGAGGAAATTGCTCCCTTTTATATCACATTTTATGTTAAGTAAATGTAAAGTTGGAAACAAATCTGACTGATTGAAGTTGTACCAGCCTAAATTTCAACTTCCAGCTGTGATAACTTCTGACAGTGTTGCCTGCCAGGCTCAGAGCACTCTCCTGTTAGACTGCAGAGCATTAAATCTGTGAGATATTACGGCCAAGCCACCTGTTAATCTTTTCCTTCACGAGAAGATCCATCTATTAAGCTTAAGTTTTTCACTATAAAAGTGTATTTAATGTTATTTTTTTTTTTTTGAGTGAACAAGCTTTTTCAACCTACCAGCCCCTTGTATCCTTGGCTCCAGCAGTGGGAGATAATTTTTCATGTAAGAATTCTATGGAGCACAAATTCAAAGGGAAATGCCTCTTCATGCCTTCCTCCCGAGCAGATATATTGCATTTTTTGGGGGGCAAACAATACTCTTTAATAAAGAACATCTTCCATTTTGGTTGTTTGCATTGTTTGGGCAGAGCATTTAAACTGAAAGATCTCAGATTTAGTTTAGGTTAGAGATTAGGAAGGAATTCTTGGCTGTGAGGGTGGTGAGGCCCTGGCACAGAGAAGCTTTGGATGCTCCATCCCTGGAAGTGTCCCAGGCCAGGTTGGAGCAACCTGGGCTAGTGGAAGGTGTCCCTGCCCATGGCAGGGGTTTGGAATGAGCTGAGCTTTAAATCCTTTCCACCCCAAACCATTCTACAGTTCTACGATTTGGAGTTCTCCCTGAAAATGCAAAACATTTCCAGCCGGTCTTTTTATAAACCCTAAAGTTATTCCTTTTTTTTTTTTGGAAGACTTTTTCAGAGAGAGGGGAAAAAAAAATCTTGGAAGAGCTTTCCTGGCTAAGCCTGAGAAAAGCCCTGTGAGTCTGTGTTACTTATTCACTCGGATAAATGTGTTTAGTTCCACAAATGCAAAGGTGCCGGTGCTGCAGGTGTGTTAGTGGGTGATAAGTGCTGTTCACACACTTCCTAAAGCACTGTGGAAATAAATGACCGCATTTCAGATTATTTGAAAACTCCTGACGGGTTCCTTATGGAGAGGAAGCAGCCAGTACAAATAGATTAAGCCCAGAATTTTATGTTTAATGGATGAAACACCTCTGAAGGCGTCTGCTGCTAGAAAAGCACCGCAGGAAAATGCAAAACCCCACTGAATCGGGACAACTTCGGGGGATTTTGCAGCCAGGAACGCTGACAGTTATTGCACAGTGATGGTCTCCTTGCCTCTCCCATCCTCTCCAGGCTGCTGTGATGGATGCACATCATTCCCAGGCGGAGAGCATCTCAAGCAGTAATGAAAGCACGGCGGAAAGCGGTGGGTATCGGCAGAGAGCACAATCATTAAGATGATTTTCCTCCATAATGAGGTGCTGCGGAGTACAGCTCCATTCAAACCCCCTTTAAACAACGTTGGCATCGAATATAATAACCTGACAGGGAAATAAAATCCCTGGCTGGCTCTGTTTCTGTCTCTCTGAAAGGGAATCAATTTGCTTTGCCTGATGGCTTTCCCCAGCACTTAACGTGGAGTGGGGGAAGGGGGTTATTGTGAGGGTGGCCCGTGGGTCGCCTTCTGAAGGTCAAACCTTTCAAAAAAAAAATAAAGAAAAAGAAAGGAAAACGAGGTCTTGGCACCCCTGTCCCGCTGCTGCTTCGATGAGGTTCATGGTAGGGTACATTTGTATTAATTATATGTACAAGGAGTTTGTGTCATCCTTAAAATACCAAGAAGGAACTAAATTCCAGCCTGGATCAGAGTGGTTTGGGCTCTGTGGTTGTTTGGGTGTCTCTGCTTTAGCTGGTCCATCCCATCCATCACTTCCACGGCTTTTGGGACAAAGCAACGCGAAGAACAAATCCAAAAATTCCACATTCCTGGCTGGCTCCCTCTGTGCCTTCGCAGGGAAATCCCCAGCAAGGTGCAAAACCAGGGAGCCCTCTAATAATCCACTTAATTCCCCTTCTCAGGGAGCATCCAAGGGAGCAAGGTGCCTCCTTGCCCTTGGTTTGCTCCACTCTGCAGCTCTAAAATACACAGGGTAATGTTTTGGGGTGAAACCAGGAGCATTTGGGCCAAGCTCCCAAACCACAGGTTGCCCGTAAAAATCAGGATCAACAGCCATTCCTGAGCTTCCCAGGGATAACAAGAGGCAGGATGTGGCCCACAGTGGATCTCCTGCAGGAGGCAAAGCCCAGGGAAGGTGTGGGGCGAGCAATGAGACGCCTGCAGTCGGCACAAGGGGGATGGGAAACATTTAACAGGCAAATCCAAGCGGGAAGCAATTTCCCCCTAAAATCCCAACTGCAGAGTGTCACCATAATGCACCTTAATGAGGTGGGGAGAGGGGGGGGGTCACTTTGGAAAGTGGTTTTAAAACCACTCTGGAACACATCTGGATTGTCTTAGGAACGAGCAGGGCGTCCTCAGGGAGCACTTCAAAGAGCGTTTCCTCGTGCTGAAATTATCCCACCCCAGCCTGCTCCTGCACGGACACTGTTCCATTAGGGATGATTTCTGACCGCTCCCCATGGGAACAAACGGCACAGGATTCCATTAGGGATTCCCAGTTTGTTTGGAGCACACAGCCTGCCTTGCTGGCTTGGCTTAGAAGTGGGAGCTGGGGGAAGGGAGGGAATTTCACAGCCCTCCACCAAACTGTCCTGTCTGGGAGCTTTGGAAAGTGGAATTAATTGTGGTTTTTAGTGAACAGGCCGCATTTGTATTTGTATTTCTAATTATATTTATATTCATATTTGTATTCATATTCTTATTCAAATTTAAATTTATAATAGTGTTGTATTTCAAATATTATAATAGTGATATATTTATGCCATTGTAATAGTGTTTAAGTTCTGCTACGCCTATAATAGTGTTGCATTTATACTATTATAAGTGTTACATTTATCATAGCGTTTGAGTTACATTTATATTATAATACGGTTATATTTATAATATAATACTGTTATAATAGTATTTGAGTTGTGTTACATTCATATTTAGAACACTATTGTATTTATAATATTTTAATTGTGTTATAATAGTGTTTATGTTATATTTGTAATAGTGTTGGATTTATAGAATATTACACTAGTGTTATAATAGTGTTTGAGTTATATTTACATTTATAATAGGGTGATATTTATAATATTATAATAGTGTTATAATAGTGTTTAGGTTTTGTTATTTTATATTTATAATAATGTTTCAGTTGCTTTCAGATATATATAAACTAATGTGTATAAAATATTGTATATAATGTATATTTTAATATCATCTGTATATAATATATAATATTGTATATTTATAATAGTGTTGTATTTATATTATAATAATAGTGTTGTAATAGTGTTCAAGTTGTTTTATATTCATATTTACAATAGTGTTACATTTATAATATTATATGTTATAATTACATTTATATTGTTATAATATTGTTGTATTGAATGTTATATTTATAATAATGTTTAAGTTGCTTTCAGTTATATATATAATAACATGTATAAAAGTATATATAATGTATATTTTTATATCATATACAATGCTATATTTATAATAGTGTTGTATTCATAACATTATAATTGTGTCATAATAGTGGTTATTTGTGTTATATTTATATTTATAATACATATTCTATTTATAATGGTTATATTCTACTGTTAAATGCTATAATAGGGATATATTTAATGTTATATTTAACATTATATTCATCAGTGCTTAAGTTGCTTTCAGTTACACATCAAATAACATGCATAAAATAGTATATAAAAATGTATATTTTATATCTAGGTATGTGTTTAATTATATTTATTATATATAAGTCTATGTATTTATATTTATTTATATATTTTTAAATATTGCGGGGGGGGGGGGGAATGTCTGTCCCCCTCCCTGGCACGTAAGCCCAACAATCTGCTGCCACACCGGATATCTCCTTGTTTGATTCTCTTTCCTCATTTTCCCTTGTTTGATTCTCTCTCCTCATTTTCCCTTTTTAGCTGCTCCGTAAGTGCATGGCAGGGATGAGAAGATGATGTCATTTGCTTCCCAGTGAGGTTCCCTGAAGGATGCAGATGCCTTTCCATGCCTGGCACGAGGGTGAGTCAAATCCACCCAGAGTGGCTGTGGAAAGCCCGGGATCTGCCCAGGTTTCTTCCTTTACTCCCGTGGAGCAGCTCTTTTGTCACCTGGCACCTGAAGGGAGCCCTCTATCCCTGGCTACAGCACAGCCCAGGAATTGGGAAGAAAATGGAAATGTAAGATCTTAAAATAGCTGTTTGGTGGGAGTAAAGCAGGGTAATTCCCTCCCAGTTTTTGTACCACCAGGGAATGTCATCATCTTCCTTTTTGTTGTAGAATCACACGCTGGTTTGGGTTAGAAGTGACCTTAAATCTCATCTCATTCCAGCCCCAGCGACACCTTCCACCAGCCCAGGTGGCTCCAACCTGGCCTTGGACACTTCCAGGGATCCAGGGGCAGCTTCTCTGCCCAAACTGTGCCAGGGCCTGCCCACCCTCCCAGCCAGGAATTCCTTCCCAATATCCCATGTCACCCTATTCTGCACCCTGGACTCTTGTACTTTGAACCAGGCAGTGACTCCAGGCCCTGCTGATGATCCCAAACACTGACCTGGCCCGTGCAGGGAACAGGCAGCTGATGCTTCATCCCTGCTCCCTGCTTCAGGCTGAACCTGCTCCAGGCTGAAGAGGAAAAGAGAAAATTGCCTATTACTTCATTTTATAGATATTAACCAAGATATTTTTGTGGCCCATCAGCACACCAGGCCATTTTATTCTACATACTTCGACTTGTACCGTGTATGAATCCAGCTGTTTTAGCCCTGGAATTTTCCAGCAATCCAATAAACCCACAGTGGATTGTTGGTTTTGTTTTTTTTTAATTGACTCCAATATAGCTTGAGGTCCATATTTGATACCCTGACATTGCTTGTGATTTGATGTCCTATGCAATTTTCTCAAAGCTGTTTGACTTCCAAATCAGCACTTCTGGCTGTGCTTTATTTTTCTGTCATTGGTGGGTTTGGGGGGGGGGCAGTGTATACACCCCCTCCCTCCCCTCCCCAAATTTTGCTGTACCATAAAAGTTCATAATTTCTGAATGTTTAAAGAAATGAGATTTCCAGGTAACTCAAGTTTCCTCATATTGAAAGGAAAGTAAAGCTGTGTGGATGATGGATTTAAAAGTAATTAATGGCCAAACTGAGAGGAATTAGATTCAAATGAAATAAAATATTAATGTCTTTTCTTTAGTGTCTGCCTAAACCATCTCATTACATCCTGCTTGGAATCTGGAGGGGTATTTGGGGTGAGTTATTCTTGCTGTTTAACCTCTTTTCTGAGCGGATCAAGTTTGCCATTTTGAAATGAGGCGTCGAGGGGGGGGAACCTTCAGCCATTTCTGAACCTGCCAAATCCAGCCTGAGCTCGTATATCATTTCATTCCTCCCAAAACACTCTTCTCCTGCTAATTTTAAATTAATCTCTGAATTTATGCTCCACGGAGAGAGGGAAAGAAACAAGTGGGAAGAACAGACTTGAATTTTTTTGCTGAGGCTTTTGGGGGGATGCAGCGCTGGGGAGGAACTGGTGAGTCCTGAGGAAGCACCAGAGATCTTGGAGAGGTTTTGCACATTTTCTTCCCCTTCCCCACTCAGACACGACCTCTCTCTTTGCTCAAGCCTGAACTGAGAAAAGCAAACAAATCAGGAATCCATCAGCACAAAGTCTGTCCTGATATCTCCGTGGTTATGGGGCCACGCGCCGGAACAATCTGATAAAATTCATGTATTTTTCATAAGGTGTTTCAGATATTATTTCTGACCCGGATATTTGCTAATTCTGTGCAGAAAAAAAAAAAAAGAAAAGAAAAAAAAGAAAAGTAGGGGTGAAATTTTTCACAGCTCTTTTCGCTCAGCGAAGGGAATCGAAGGAGACGAAACGTTTGCAATCTGTCACAAATCAATATCCCCCTGGAAAGGCTCCTGACACATCCATATTTTTTCCAAAGGGAGCACGAGGGGATGGAGAACACCAGGAAAAACAACATTACAGAGCACAAACACCTTTGCCTGGGATGTGATGGGTTATGACTGATGTACCCCCGGCTGGGAAACAAGCAAAGCACGACCCGCAAACAGAGAATTTGAGATCCGAGATGAAACCAGCTCCCTGGTGGCTTCCTTTTATTAAAACAAATGATATTCATGTTTCATGAAGTGCACAATAAATCTATCCTGCAGCTGAAGATGGAGATGATTTTTATCCTCTGGTTTGAGAGTTTTATTTACTGGGGGTATCTGAGATTTGTGGCTGGTGAGGAATCATTGCAATGACTCCTGTACCCATGTTCCTCCTGGGAACAGCTGGATGCAGAGGGTGGGGGTCACAAAAGGGGCAAAAAATAAAAGGGGGGTTTTCTGGAGCTGTGGTGGCACCATATTATGTAAAACATAACTCTGACTGATTTATTGTGGAAAGGGTGTCCCGTGTGGTTTTACACAGTTTGCCTACTTTGAGATCATTTTGCAAATTAATGTCTCGTGCTAAAATCAGCCCAAGTTTGGACAAGAGCTGGGAGGAATCTTTGACAAAATGTTGGTGAAGTTTGACGAGGCTTTGACAAAGAACCAAGGAAAATCAGCGGTGCTGGCTGAGCTCTGCTCTGAGTTTTGGGTTTGCAGTCAGAGCAAGGACACCCTCAGACAAGGACATTTTGGCAAGAGCCAAAGCACTGCTCTTTTGGACCCCCTGCAAACCAAAAATGGGAACTGCTGACCATGAACCACCTCTTTGAATCGATGGAGAGGAGGGAGCAGCTGTTGCTGGGCTTGCTGGAGGAAGGCAGGGAAGGAGAGACGTGGGCAGGTTCTCGAGTGCTCCCCCTTCTCTCACAGACTCTGTTTATTATTAATGACAATTATTTTAGGAGGAATAATAATTTAATCGGTTTAGGAAGAATTTCCTCCCTGTGAGGGTGGGCAGGCCCTGGCACAGGTTGGGCAGAGAAGCTGTGGCTGCTCCTGGATCCCTGGAAGTGTCCAAGGCCAGGCTGGACGGGGCTTGGAGCAACCTGGGAGAGTGGAAGGTGTCCCTGCCCATGGCAAGGAATGAGATGAGCTTTAAGGTCCCTCCCAACCCAAACCATTCTGGAATTCCATCATTATATAATATAATGGAAAGGTTTTGAAACTAATGCAAAGTGGAGCGGCCCCGTGTCTGCTTTTCCCTCGCAATTTTAATTCAGGGGATTCTGGTTCTTACAGAGCTGGTTTGGTGTTTCAAAGGATGGAGGGTTCAGGTGCTTTGGGGGTTTTCAGCATTGCTCACCTGCACTGTGGTACTCATTTAAATAAAGATGGAGTGGAAAGCTTGATCCTCGCTGTGAAGGGATCGAAGGAAACAAGAACACCACGTGGGGGCTGCATTTGAGTTCCTCTGATTTCCATGACACACATTACTCAGGACAAACAGCGACCAGGAGAAAATGAAGGTGTGATTTCCTCTGCTGCCACTCTTGGGTCCGTCCTATATAATTTGGAAAAACACGAGACCACATAAAAACATCCCGCAATTGCCCACGTCTTTGTTCCCTGTCAGAGCTCGTCTCCGGCTCGTTATGCTCCCCACTCTTCGGCTTCCCCGCAATCTTCGGGCCGTTTAGCACCGGGATAATGTAATCCAATTTTCTTTGTTGCCGTAAAGGCCTTAATTACGGCTTCCCGGGATATGGCAATCAGGAGACGTCGGGTTTTTTTCTCGTGTGTCAAAGCCACGTCTGCCTCAAACCCATCAGCGTCCTTGTGTCGTGGGAGGAGACGCGGAGGTCGCGCCTCGCTTCACGTGTCGTTGCCACGGATGAATTTATTCAGCACCAGCCCTCCTGCAGCCGCACAAACTATCAGCTCGCTTTGAATTTTTTTTTGCCTCTATCTGCAGGTTATTGCCCCGCGGAAACGCGATAATCTCTCATTTGGGCCGGCGCTGATAACGCCGTTCCCGCTTTGATTTCTCTTGTTGACGTTTGCAGGAATGTTTCGGTCGGTGCTTTCGCTTGACCTTGGGGTGCTCAGGGAACACCTGGGCTGCTGCAAAGGGTGCCCACAGCAAAGGTCCACCCTGGGCACTCACAGCTCTGCTGAATGAACGCAAGGGCTTTGTGGCTGAAGAAAAAAAATAATAAAAAAAAGAAAACAAAATTTTTGGAGAGCCCTGTTATCTGGCATTGGCCAGGGAGCGGTTTTATGGCAAATATGTTTCTACTGCAAAGCTGGGGTTGGCTCATCTCCAGCCCCTGCGTCTCCAAGTCAGCTCCCCAGAGGTGCCAGGAGGTACCTGCAGGCTCTGCCCACGGGGAACAGCAGTTTCTGAGAGCAGGAGGGGTTTCAGCCTCAGGATCCCAGAATCATGGAATGGTTTGGAATGGATTGGAAGGGACCTGTAAAGGTCATCTGGTTCCAAACCTCCTTCATGGGCAAGGACACCTTCCACTGGACCAGGTTGCTCCAAGCCGTGTCCAACCTGGCCTTGAACATTTTCAGGGATGGGGCTGCTTCTCTGGGCAGAAATAAATATAAAAATACATATATAAAAGGAAGGGTGACAATGTGGACTGAAATAACTTCACATAAAGCTGAAATCTTTACCTGTGGGTGAGGCAGGAGGTGCTGGAACAGAAACGATGCTCCTGCACAGGAGAACTTCCCTGGGGTTCTCTGGATTTGTTAAAATTCCCAGCGGTGCTGAGCGTGGCTGAAGAGAGGAGGCACCAACACACTGGGAATGTGATACCTGCAGATGGGCTCACTCCACCCAAACCTTGCCAGCCAAGCTCTCCTGGGGGTGGGCTGGGCAGCTCTGGCTTTTCTTTAATCAAGAAAATTAACTCGCCTCTGTTAATTGATTATTTCCGAAGTGCTTTGCCCAGCGTGGCTCACATGGACAAAAAACCTGATCCCATTTTCCACACCCAACCTCCAGTTTGCTGTGGCTGGCTGAAGGTGGGATTTATCCTCCTCTTAAACACTGCTGTTGGATTCTCCACAAGGGTTTCCAGCGCTGCCTAATCCCCCTCCCCATCACCACTTTTAGTATAAAAACCCGGGATAGATTATAGCTATTTCCCAGCTTAAATCACTCAATATACCGGGAGTGATTTTATTTTCCCAGAAATACCATTCGCGTGGTGCCTTCCCCCACCCTTCCCTCGGGGGGAGCCGGTTTAGGAATGTCCTCTCCAAAGGGAATCCAGCTGGGCGTGAAATGAGCCCTTTTGTGTGTCAGGGATTCAGGATGGGGGTCGGGATGGGGTGGATCGATACATCTGAAAGAGCCCAGCCAGGCCCCTCAGACAGCAGCAAACGGGGTTTAAAAGCTTCCCGCTGAACGCGGCCAGCGGCCAATAATCAGAATTTTAGCAGGAGATTCAATCGCTCCTCTCGCTCCTGTTTTAGTGAAGCCGTGAGCTGGGAATGGTGCCTTTGAATGTTGTTGGTCTTTCCCTGGCTTGAGAGCGACACGAAAGCCCCAGCTCCGTGCAAATCCAACCTTTGGAATATCCCTTACCGAGGCTCTTTCCCTCCATTGATATAATTCTGAAAGGTGTTATCCATCCCGGAGTATCCCGGGAAAACCAGCCCCTCTTGGGTCGTTCAAATCCTTTTGTCAATCCCTGTTTCAAGTTAATTAATCCAGGTCTCTCCAAGCTCCCAGTTCTTTGTTCTGAGGCGTTGCTGCACGTTCAGGGTTGGTTTTATTGCAGCTCCTGCCGTTTTGCCAGCGTTTATGGCCCAGTGCAGTAAAGGCAAAGGCAGCTGGTGCTTCCAGCAGGGAAAATATGGAATGTTGTTTGCATGTATGCAAAGTGGCTCTGCAGGAATTTCGGGAAGGGAGGGGGGGGAACAGGTTGTGGGGATGCAAAGCTCAGTGTGAGTGGGGAGAAAACACCAGGCCTGGGACTTGATGTTTCTTCTCTCCATTTGGAAGCCAATCCATAAAAAGCCTGCCATAAATGTTGCTTCTGCAAGAAAAGAAAGAAAAAAAAATAAAAAGAGGTTGAATTTTGATAGGTTTTGGTGTTTATTTTTCCCTGCGCATGACATTTATTTCCCATTTTATTGCCTTGCAGATGTAGAAAGTCACTTTATGAGGAGGCAGAGTGTTCACTCAGCTTTCAGCCACGGTCTTTGTGTCTTCCCAGGCGGAGCTGCATGAATTTTCTTAGGCAAATACTCCAAGAAAAACGTAAAATCAGGTCTTTCACTGTTATTTGCACAGTCTTCTCTACTTACACGGGTATGTCTTTGAGACTGAAAACCAGCCTGTAAAATTCCAGCATTTCCCAAGTCCCTCATTCTGATATTTGGATTCAAGAGAGCATTTCATTTGCCTCTTCTAATCCTAAAATGCCAGTGAGGACTGTGCTGGAACTATTTCATTTCCACGGGAAAAAAAAAACCCAAACATTTTACACTGACAACGGAGGAGTGAATGAATTTGAAATGATTTTTTTCCTCCCAGGAAAGCAGGATCCCAGCCCTTCCCAGAGCTCCACCTGGGGCAGTGTCAGGGAACGTAAATCCCATCAGGTGTTGCCCCCACTCTGCTTTATGGTGGGGATAATTTAAACCTTCCCGGGATGGGAATCTTCCCAGTTAAAGTGCACTCTCCCCCTGCCTTTCTCTCTCCCTGCTACCAGTCGGGAATGCTGCATCCCTGCTCCCTGGGAGGGCTCTTCAGCTGGATTGACCTCGTGACAGCTCTGTGGTACCTCGGGCCATCTCAAAAACCTCAGAGGTTATTTTATTTTCCCTTTGAATTTCGATTTGGAAGTTGCCAGATGAGGGCTTTGCATTTATTTTATTGGGGAAAAATTCCCGTCAAAATCTCCCCCGTTTCCTTGGCTTTGTTTCTCCCCCAAAATCCCAGGCTTGTTTACTCTGATCCTTCTTGCTCTTGTGTCATGACCCTGCCCTTTTCTTCCTCCTTCCGCACGCTGTGCTTGTCATTTCATCTGAAGGTTATTAAATAAAGTCATTTCTGCTCGGCACATTCCCCCCTCAGCTTCCAGAGGCGTCCTCAGGGAGACGGGGATCTATCCAGGGACAGCACAGCTCTTAAATAACACTTACAATAATACTTAAAGAGTGAGCTATATGGTAATTGCTGCACTAATGTGTGCTCAGGCTGTGCCATTCTCACCGTGGTCACAGGCAGAGCTCCCCAATCCAACCCACTGCTTTG